CCGCGGGGCAGCAGCTCGCGGGCCGGCGTCCCGTTGCGGCCGGGCAGGGGGCTGACCACGGCCGGCGCGTTGTCGTTCTGGTCGAGCACGGCCACGTGCACCGTGGCGTTGGCGGCCAGCGCCTGCGGCTCCTCGCCGGCGTCGCGGGCCTGCACCTGGAAGCTGAACTCCTTGAGCTGCTCGTAGTCGAAGGAGCGCAGGGCGTAGAGGAAGCCGTTCTCGGCGTTGATGGACACGTAGGTGAAGACGGACATGCCCTGGATCTGCCCGTCCAGGATGGCGTAGGCCAGGCGGGCGTTGGCGCCGGCGTCGCGGTCCGTGGCGCTGACGGCGAAGATGTAGGCGCCGGGCACGTTGTTCTCGCTCACCTGCACGCGGTAGCGGGGCTGCGAGAAGCGCGGCGCGTTGTCGTTCACGTCGCTCACGCGCACCTGGATGCTGTGCGTGGCGCTGAGCGGCGGGCGCCCGCCGTCGCGGGCCACCACGGTCAGCGTGTAGGCGTCGCCGCCGGGCTGCTCGCGGTCCAGCGCGCCCTCGGTCACGATGGTGTAGTAGTTCTTGAAGGAGCTCTTGAGGCGGAAGGGCGCGGCGCCCTCCTGCACCAGCTCGCAGCGCACCTCGCCGTTCTCCGCCGAGTCGCGGTCCGAGACGCTGAAGAGCGCCACCACGGTGCCCGGCGCCGCCGCCTCGCTCACTGCCTCCTTCACGGTGGAGAAGCTGATCTCGGGCGCGTTGTCGTTGGCGTCCAGCAGACGCACCAGCACCTTGCAGTGCGCCGGCACGGCGTTGGGGCCCAGGTCCTTGGCCTGCACATACACCTGGTAGGCGCTGCTCTCCTCGTAGTCCAGCTCGCCCGCCACCTCCAGGCGGCCCGTGCGCGGCGCCAGGCCGAAGACCTCCCGTGCGCGGGCCGAGATGTGGCTGCTGAAGGAGTAGAGCACCTCCCCGTTGGCGCCCTCGTCGGGGTCGCTGGCGTTGAGCTGCAGCACCAGCGTGCCGGGCGGCGAGTTCTCCGCCAGCGCCACGGCGTACACGGCCTGCTCGAAGGCGGGCACGTTGTCGTTGGAGTCCAGCACCCGCACGCTCAGCAGCGCCGTGCCCGTCCGCGCCTGCGGCTGCCCGCCGTCCACCGCCGTGAGCACGTAGCGGTGCAGCGCCTGCTGCTCGCGGTCCAGCGCCTGCTGCAGCACCAGCTCCGCGAAGCGGCTCCCGTCGCCCGGCTGCGTCTGCACGTCCAGCGAGAAGTAGGCGTTGGGGGTGAGCTCGTAGGTGCGCAGCGCGTTGGTGCCCACGTCCGGGTCGAAGGCGCTCTCCAGCGGCAGCCGCGTGCCCGGCGTGGCGCTCTCCGAGATCTCCACCGTCAGGTCCGGCTCGGGGAAGGCGGGCGGGTTGTCGTTGATGTCCAGCACCTCCACCTCCACGCGGAACAGCTCCAGCGGGTTCTCCAGGAAGACCTCGAGGTGCAGGAGGCAGGCCGGGCTCTGCTTGCAGATCTGCTCCCGGTCCATCTTCTCGCTCACCGACAGCACGCCCGTCTCCAGGTCCAGCGCCAGGTAGGGGCTCC